AAATACATATTTTTTTAAATATTTTACTCTATTTTACTATAAAATTCAAAATATGACTTAAAAATAACAAAAATGTCTTAAAATAGGAAAATAAAAAAAAATAAAAAATWTTTGTTTTATAAATTTATCAAAGCTTACAAATTATTTAAAAATCAAAATCATTGCATTGTACAATTAGAGCGTTTTTTATGTTATCAAAAGTAAATGAATGACGATTATCTGTTAATAAATATTTATATTTGGAAAAACTTCTCTCCACGTTTATTGAAGTACTGAAGTGATTGGGGCAAATCTGAAATGGACCAAATCATCAGCACTGAAATCATTCGGAAAACACTCACTTGAAGCTTCTTTACCATTTAAAATTTTTGAAATTGTTGACAACGACAAATGTAATCGTCGAGATGAAATTGGATAGGTACTATAATCTTAGCCTGTGGTAATTTCCAAGTTATAAGTTATCGGCATAATGGTCGACAAGAAACGATAAGAAATGAACTAGTGTGAAATCAGTAAAAATGACTAAAATGTGGGAAAATGACCTGACTTAAAAAGTGATAAACACCAAAAAAATGCAAAAAAATACAAAATAAAAATGAGTTATTCAGATTCACATGCTTATGAAACGGATTTGTAGCCAGGAGAGCATCGTCTAAAAAGTTCCAAAAAAAAATGCAAAATGCATCAACTTCCGAGCCCTAGCCATATTAGTAATAAAGATGGTTAATTTCATATTTTCTGCAGAAAAAATTACATTTGAAAATGCCATTGTGTGTATAAATTATCTGTATATTATTAAAAACAAAAGCTCTTCCAATGGCCAATGGATTGAACGATGACGCTGCGTACAAAGATCTTGTAAGTGTTTTTTTAAATGTAAAAATAACGAATTGATRGACAAGTCATTATCACACAATCACGCATGTACAGAAGAAAGTATACAAGTATACTACTTAGACAAACGATTAGTAATAGTGCTAAAAGAAAAGGCTTAGAAGATATTTGCGAAAGGCCTTCTA